GCCGCCTCGTCGGGACGGCCGGGGGCGGCGGAGTTGGGCGCGGGAGCGGGGGCGGCCGCGGTCACCTCTGTGCTGGGCATGTACGCGGCGGCCGGCCCCTACGCGGGCGCGCCCAACTACAGCGCCTTTCTGCCCTACGCCGCCGACCTCAGCCTCTTCACGCAGATGGTGAGTGCGCCCGGCCCGCTCTCACGCGCTGCCCTCCGGCGGCGGGATCCGGGCGCTCGGGCCAAGGGCGCGGGGGCCCCAGTCCGGCGGGGCGGAGGCGGCGGGGAGCGCGGAGAGGCCAGCCCGGTAACGGCCCGGCCCGTGGGCCTTGGGAAGCGGGGAGATGGGAGGCCTGGACCGCGCGGGGGTTCCGGGTGGGAGTCGGGAGGCCCACCGAGGAGGCCCGGAGCCAGCGGCCCGCGCCGAAGGTCGGGACAAACTCGTACTCGACGCCCCCGATTCGGTGGCGGCGGTGGGGCAGGCAGGCGGGCGGGGTTCAGGCGGGGTTCAGGCGGGGTTCAGGCGGGGCGGCTTGGCCCCATTTACCCGGCCGCCCCTTCCCGGGCCGCGGACCGCGCTGCGCGACCTTTTCAGCTTTTGGGCTGGGCCGGGAGACTCGATTTTCTCCCTCTTGGGCAGAACTCGTGCGGTTGTAACCCGTGCACCCGAGGGAACCTTTTAAAGCGAAATAGAGGCGGTCCGAGTAAGGCTAACAATGGAGATCGGCGGGCAGTGGGGTCTCCAAGGCCTGAGTGCACATTTGAAATTTAAAAAAAAAAAGGCGAAATAATTGTTGGCGTCTGAAACGGTGTTTGCTTTGACTTCCGTAAGTTGTCAAAGTTTTCATTTCATTTGCACCGAAAAGAAAAGCAGTTTTCTTCTTGCGTTATGTAATGGAGGATTAAAAAGAGCTGTGTCCCTGGGCTTAAAATAAATGCTGTCCTTTTAGCCTCCTGTCCCAGTGGGTGTCAGATGTGGGGGGTGGGGTGGGGAGTGTGCTGCAGATTGAATGCTCCGCAGGGCCGTTGGTCTAAGGGATCCATTTCTCTAAGGTCTGCCTGCGAAGTCTAGTTTCAACTTCGGACTGCTGAGGGCTGCACGCCGAGCGCAGGGGTCGAGGAGGCAGCCCCCTCCTGCGCTGCTGCCTGCGGGGTCAGGCAATTTGCAGGCACCCCCTCCCCCCCGCAGGTCTCCCCACTCCGCGAAGAAGAGACAGAAAATAAACACCCGGCAAACTGTACAGGAGCAAGGCGGCCGGCGTGTTTTGCTGGAACTTTTCTTGTAGTTTTGAAAAGAAAGCCTATTTCTCTGAAAGCGACCCCAGCTGCCGTTTAGTTCGGTTGCTCTGGAAAAAGATAAGCTCCCATTTTGTTCTGGCGGCGGGGATGCCGGGGAAGCGATGAGAGATTTACAAGGTATCCTTTCAAAGAGAATTCCCAGCAGAGAGGAGGCCGAAATGTCTTCCTTACAGTTACAACCAAAATAATTAGAAACGTGCAAAGGACGTTTTGCAAAGATTAGGCAGAAAACGAAATCTGGGCAGAGAACTGTCGTCTGTGTGGCTTTGACCACCGAACTAAATAGTCCAAGAAATCTGCTTTTTGCAACTTTCTCAGAGTCGGAGGTCCCCCTCTGCTAACACAACTCGACAGTTTTTACATGGAGGATATATATGTGTGTGTATATATATATATATATTTTTTTTTTAACAGAAAATTTGAATAGAGTTATGTGCCATTTGGGAAACCTGCCTGTGTTTGTGCATGAGGGTGGGGGCCCTGCAGTGAGGACCCTCTACCATTGTATTGTGGTTGGAAACAGATGCTTATTTTTTTTTTTAACGGCAAATTATATAGAAATCCACCCCCCTCCACCCACAAAGGTATGTGTGAGTGTGTGCGTGTGTTTCCTCCTGGACTCCTGTTCCTTCTTGGAAAGAAAGCCTAAATCCACAAACTCAAATTCTAGGCCTAGGTTTTCCAAGCCCTTACGGTTGGGGATTTGGAAGTCAAAAGATAAAATTGTGAGTGAATGTCTGTCTGGGCAATTTATGGTAATAATGAGGCCTAATGAGGTTGTTAGAAAGATAAAATGTTATTTACCAAAAAACCTGATGGGATAATTTGACTTGCTGTGTTTTACTACCGATGATAAAAAGAATATTGATTGCAAATAAATCACCGCCTCTAAATGCCTGCAAACAGTTTGTGCTTGCTAGCTCCTGATCAAAGTCAAACTTGAGAGATACAGTCCCTGAGAAGGGGCCGCGGAAGCGGTTCTGCTTCGCGCAGCCGGCGCTCGAGGCCTCGCGTTAATGTTTTACCGGTTAAGCCCTGTTTTTGTATTTTAAAAAAACAAACGGTGTTTTTGTTATTGTTGTCGACCACGGCCAGGATTAAAATTTTAAATTGCTTGTCACCCACTATGGACCTTTAAGTGCGGGTGAGCCATTCTATGCAGATTTAACTTGGGAGCTAAAAGGAGCGTGCTTTCATTTTAAATTGCTGGCGGATTTGGATTCTCAGAAAACCCGGGACGGTTTATTTTGTTTGACCCCCTCAGGGTCGAAGGGGGGGGGGGGCTGGGCTCTCCGTCCTCTGAGTTTGGAGAAACTGTTTTATCAGCCCAGTTAAAAGGTTTTCCCCTCGAGCGAGTGTGAGATAAACTTGGAAACCCGGGCTTCTGGAGAGGTTATGGGAGGTGGGGGTGGGTGCAGCGAGGGCGGTCTAGGGAAATTCTAGGGTCCCCGGCGCCCGCTGTGGTCCTCGGGGGGCACATTTCGAGGATTCTGGAACTTTCCTTGAATGACCAAAAATAAAAAAAAGAAGTCTCGGTGATTGGTGGAAGCGCCGCTTCTGGGGGCGGCTTGTGGTCCGACCCCCTCTTCCAACCCGGGTGGTGCATTAGGGTCAGCTTCCTGCTCCAGAGCAGGCTGCACTGTCTGCCCCCGGCTCGCCCAGTTTCGGGGGCTCACCTCTGTCTTTCTCTCTCTCCCCGCTTTCCCCCTCCTCCCTCGCTGGGCCTGTGGCTGCAGGGTTCACAGTATGAGCTCAAGGACAACCCCGGGGTGCACCCCGCCACCTTCGCGGCCCACACGGCGCCCGCCTACTACCCCTATGGGCAGTTCCAGTACGGAGACCCCGGGCGGCCCAAGAACGCCACGCGGGAGAGCACCAGCACGCTCAAGGCCTGGCTCAACGAGCACCGGAAGAACCCCTACCCCACCAAGGGCGAGAAGATCATGCTGGCCATCATCACCAAGATGACCCTCACGCAGGTCTCCACCTGGTTCGCCAACGCGCGCCGGCGCCTCAAGAAGGAGAACAAGGTGACGTGGGGCGCGCGCAGCAAGGACCAGGAAGACGGCGCTCTCTTCGGAAGCGACACGGAGGGGGACCCGGAGAAGGCCGAGGATGACGAAGAGATCGACCTGGAGAGCATCGACATCGACGAGCACGACGGCGACCAGAGCAACGAGGACGAGGAGGACAAAGCCGAGGCGCCGCGCGCGCCCGACGCGCCCGCGGCCCTCGCGCGGGACCAGGGCTCGCCGCTGGCGGCCGCCGACGCGCTCAAGCCCCCAGACTCGCCCCTGGGCCTGGCCAAGGAGCCCCCGGAGCCAGGCAGCACGCGCCTGCAGAGCCCCGGCGCTGCGGCGGCCGGCGGCCTGCAGGGCGCGCCGAACAGCAAGCCCAAGATCTGGTCGCTGGCCGAGACGGCCACCAGCCCCGACGGTGCGCCCAAGGCCTCGCCGCCGNCGGGGGCGGGGGTGGGGGGGGGGCCCATTGCTCCTCCGCGGTGCCCCTACCCCGTCAGGGTCCTAAGCTCGATGTCTCCCGATTCCTCCCAGAGAGAGACCTCCTCCCCAGACCGGACTCGCCCGCGCAGCAGCTGAAGTCGCCCTTCCAGCCGGTGCGCGACAAGTGAGTGCCTGTTGGCCTTTACAGCCGGGCGGGGGGCGAGGGTTGGGGGCGGGGTCGGGGTCTCGCAGCCCGCGCGTAGACCGCAAGCTCTGGTCAGGAGCCCTGCGGCGCCCCGGCCAGCTGGCGGAGTCCACCTGGGTTTCTCCCGAGCCGGGAGCCGCGCCGGGCCGCGACCCCGCGCCGCCTCCCCGGGCGCTCGGTGGGCAGAGTCCCCCTGCCGGGTCCCAGCTTCCGTCCACTGACAGCGCTGTGTTCTTGTCTCGCTGTTTCCCGCTCCCCGCAGCTCGCTGGCCACGCAGGAAGGGACGCCGCGGATTCTAGCAGCGCTCCCGTCGGCCTGATCCAGGGTCGTCTCTGACTTTCTCCGGGGGGGAGGGGGGAGATCTTCGGGAGGGAGGGGATGAGGGAGGAATTAAGACAAATATTTGAGACTGGTGCAAAGGACAGATCTGGCCACGAAGTCGAGGACTCTCCCATCCATCGCTTTCTGCAGAAAGGGGCTCATCCGACCCGAGCTCCGCATCCAGGCAGCCCGGCCTGTGCTGGGGGTGGCTGTCACCGTTCTCCGGGTGACTATCGGTTCGGTATATGTCCCCGCCACGTGCTTGTGTCTTTTTTTTCCCCCCTTCCTGTATATAGAGTGATTTCAGATTGTAAATAGCGCGTCAGCAAACTTGTCTAAATCATATATTTTTGTCTAATAAACTAAACGAAATGATGGCCCCTGCTCCTGCTGCTGTGTGTGGCTGGGCGTCGCCGCGGGCGTCCTCAACCCGGGAATCCAAAATCCTGGCGGGGGCTTTTACTGCCCCTGGCTGGGGAAAGGGGCTCCTGGGGAGTTTCCGCCCCCAAGGCCGTGTTGCTCAGCCTTTCCGCTATTGTTGAATTTGTGAATGTTGTCACCAGGGCAGTTTCTAGTTGGCAGTTCAGTTCCTTGCAACTCACAGATTTATCTGGGCAGGCCTTTCTCAGGACATAAATGAGTTCGATTTTAGGCAGTTTACAAAATGATTTTTTTTAAGTGGGAAACGATGGGGCGGGGGAATGAAAAGAATTTTCAATCCTGTCCCCAAAGGAGAACTTCGTATTTGAAATCAATTTATAACCAGTTGTCTGAGCGGTGCACTGTGGCGTCGGGGCATTTCGTGGGTAGAACGAGTACATAATGGAGTATGAAATTTTGCTTTCAGTGTATTTTTTAGTTATTTGGCTAAATCACACTTGGAGAAATTGGAAGTTTTTTTTTTTTTTTTTTAAACAGTGCTGGCAGGCCAGGGACGCAGCTAGGTAGTTCTCTGGGCTTGAGCCGGGGGTGACTGCTATAATGGGGGTGGGGGGCAGTGACAAAGAGGGGAGCGGGCTTTGGTCTCCCAGGAACGTCCCTTTAAACTCAGGCGCCCTGCCCTGGGCACACCCAGGGAGCCCAGGAGCCAATATCGCCCAGATGGCCGCCGAGCTCCGGAGGCAGCCGCAGCCGCAGTGATGGTAGGAGACAAAGCGGGTGGAGCTTGGATGCGCGGGTGAGAGCCGGCCGGGCGCCTGGGGGGACCGCAGCCCTCAGGACTGGGGCGCTAGGAGCAGGGCGCGCAGCCTGCGCTTCCAGAAGGTGCAGGACACTCGGCTTTGAATTCGTTAGCACTGAGAAAGCAAACGTTTATAAAACCGCCCGCGAGTATGGAGGGAGGCCGCGGGGTTAGCTGGCCCTATGGGGCTGAGTCCGAGGTGCCCGGCTGAACGTTCCTGACCCCCAGCCCAGCCCCCAAATTCGCCCTCCGGGACCCGCTGTCACCGGCTGCTTTCCACGGCGAGGACCGCGGCTGCGGGACAGAACAGGCAGGGTGCCACTCCTGTGCAGCGGTGGAGGGGGCGCTGGCGCCGCAAACGAACGGGGCGGGCGTGGGTGGGGGCTCAAAGCCCTGGCCCTCCGGCCCCGGGCCCAGCGCCTGCGTCCTTCTCCAGCGCCCCACCGCCACCCCGCCCCCAGCTGTCTAAAGGAAGAGGCTCCTGCCGCGCCCCTAGGCTGAAGGAAGCGCGAAGGGGCGAGCACACGTGCGGGGGATGGGCGGGGGAGGGNATGGGGGGCGATGGAGGTGTCCATCCTGGGGGTACTTGGCTTTGCGGCTCTGCCGTGGGCGCCAGGCTCGGATGATGATGGAGGCTTTCTCTGTGTTCTAGAGTGCCACTGGTTGTTTGAAATTGGTGGGGGTGGTGCAGGGCTGGGCTTGCCGGGTAGGCTGCTGGCAGGGAGTTGGGGGTGGGCGGGCTGGTGAGCCAGGAATCCCCTCGGGCTTTTGCCAATCCGCAGAGTTCTGACCTGTCCTCCTTGCTAGGACTTAAGGGGTCAGCGGGGCCCTCTGCTTTCAGTCTAGAGCCTTCCGACAGAGCCTTGGGCCCGCGCCTTGACCTCTGGGAACTAGGGTATTCAATCCTGTCTGGGGAGGGGGCGCACCTACGGACCTTACAGGAGGCACGCTCTGCCCCTCCGATGAGGATTGCAGCTCCCAGCCCGCAGACAGCTTGCTGTCCAGCTGGGCAAGGCCTCTGGGAGGCTGCAGGTGGGACTCGGGTGGGCCCTGGAACCCTCTGCTCCTGGCCCAGCTCCACCCTTCTCACCCCTAGCCGCCCCCCCCCCCCCCCCCAAACAAAGAGGCTGGTCCATGCCTGCGTCTCTGCTTTCAGCCCGTGTCCATTCTTTATTTCTCTCCAATACACTTCGGACCGCTTGGCCACACTGTGCTCACCAGGGGGTTCTGAGGCGTCAGAACCCCCTGGCCCAGAAGTCGTGAAGGGTCTGTGCTCCCCTCCTGGGGACCAAAGCTCCCAGCAAAGAAATCAGATCGCCAGCCTCAGAGTTATTTTTTTTCCCCGGTGAAGAGCTAGACATGAATTTTTAATCGCGCGTTGAAAGGCATTTTAGTCCTTTGTGTGCTATTTGTTTACATCTCTCCAGCGCCTGCAGCTCTTGGCCACACTGTGCTCACCAGGGGGTTCTGAGGCGTCAGAACCCCCTGGCCCAGAAGTCGTGAAGGGTCTGTGCTCCCCTCCTGGGGACCAAAGCTCCCAGCAAAGAAATCAGATCGCCAGCCTCAGAGTTATTTTTTTCCTCCGGTGAAGAGCTAGACATGAATTTTTAATCGCGCGTTGAAAGGCATTTTAGTCCTTTGTGTGCTATTTGTTTACATCTCTCCAGAGCCTGCAGCCACCTAACAGTGCACGCTGAGGGTGTGCTGTGCCCACAGGGAGGCCCTGAAATACCTGGGACTGGACCGAGAAACCCCCTTCCCTTTAAAGCCAAAGCGGAAGTGTTTCTGGAACTTTCTGTGTGTGCAGAGGCGCTCGCTCCTGCCTTTCCCCCACTACTGCTCAGGACAGTTTCACAGGCTGACAGTCGTCTTATCAGGAGAAGACCAAGCCTGAACATGTAAGGGTGATGGACTCCCTGGATGAAGGCTGGCGACTTGGCCTCCCTCCTCCGCAGACACCGGGGTCCCCATAGAAAGGACCTCCCCCCAAGTCCAAACAGTGCATTTCTGTCTTTCTTGGGTCTTATCTGAGGGAAGAGAAGAAAGAACAAATCTGGTTCCGAGACCTCTCTCTGCTCCAGAGCCGCAGAGATGTTGGGAGATGGTCCCAGGCGTGATTTTTCTAGATCAGCCCCCTCTTCCCATTCCTGGTTTGAAGACTCGGGGAGTAGGGTGCGAGCCGTGTCTGAACCGCTGACCTGCTGGTCTCTGAGATCGTTCCCCCCACCCTCCCTTCCCTCCCTCCCCCAATCAATTATATTCACCACCAGCACATTTATCTAGCCTGAGATATGGAGAATTCATATTCATATCTTGGTTTTAGTGGCCTGACACTGATTAATGTAATACTCTCTGTGACTCCAAGAGGCCGCCACCCGGTGAATCATGCCCTATAAAGTTTCAGTTGTCCTTGTCGATGGGACTCAGCCAGGATGCTCGGAAGCCGGGGAAGGAGGAGGGAGGGGGAGACAGTGAGGTCAGGGTGGGTGCTGGTCGTCTCCCCGGATGCCAGGGGCCTTGGGAGGCCTGAAGGCCCCTCCTGAGCCCAGCCCTCGTTCTGGTCCTCCTGGCCCTGGGGCTCCCTTCCTTTCCCGGTGCCAGCAGGCCCGAGGTTGCCCGGTGGCTGAGGCAGGGTCAGGCTGGGGCTGCTGGATGTGCTGGTGAAAGCGATGGGGCTACCTGTGCACCAGTGGGAGCAGGGTTTTTGCCCCTGGGGCATCCAAGCTGGAGGTGGGGAAGGGTGCGAAGGAAGCCAAGGCCAGGGGGGGTTCCTGGGGGGCAGCTTGGCACAGGGTTGGGGTGCACAGACGGCAGGGGCCTGGAAGGCCTGACTGGCTTCCGGCGCTCTCTGCTCAGGGCCTGGACCGCTGGGGCCCCAGTGAGGGGATGCGAGTCAGCCAGGCCCTCAGGCCTCCTGGGACCCCCGAGAGCCAGACAGAGGAGGCTCTGGTACCGGCCACTGAGCACGCGGCCTGCGCCTTGTGGCCCATGAGGTGCCAGGCCCCGGGGAGCCTCCTGCCTCACCTCTCCACCGCCCCCCTCCCCCCAGGATGTGGCTCCAGGTTTGGGTGGGGGGGCGGTTGGTGAGTCCAGGGTTGGGTGGCCAGGGGGCAGAGGTGGGAGGTGGAGCAGGCTGAAGCCTGGGGTCGTGGCTGCAGCCCGCCACCTCGAGGGGTCCCGAGTGCCCGTGGAAGGAACCGTGCTCCCTGGAAGGGCCTCCTGGGCAGGGCCGCCCACCCAGGGGCCGGGGGGTGACTGGTCTCTCCATGTGGAAAGCCACCTGCTCGAGGCTCTGCTGGGGCCAGGAGGCTGCAGGTCCGCCCAGGGCCCTGCCCTAGTCTTAGCTCCCAGGTGCCCAGCCTTAGAAGGTCCTCCCCTGGGGACCACTGGCCCAGCTCCTGAAGCTGGACGTGTCCCCTCTCCCTCTCAGAACAGATGTCTGAACACGGGCCCTTCTAGGGGTCAGTGCAGGGGGTCAGAGGGCTTAACCTACCTGGCTGCACAGTGCTTTAGAGGGCCCCCAGAAGTATTTTACTTCCTTTTCAAATAAAAGCATTTCTTTTTTTTGGTGGAGGAAAACATGTCAACAGATAGGATCCTTAGATTCATCTTTAAAATCCAGCAGCCTTCACACTGCTTTATTTATCACTGTGTTCCATAGAGGAGCGGGCCTAGAGCCCCTGTGAGTCACCCTGGGGCAGAGGTCCCGGAGGCCCCGGGAGTGGCCGAATATTCTGGAACTGCCTTCAGTGGGAGGTCTTAGGAAGAGAGGGGCCTGAGCCGGCAGGCAGGGGAGCCAGCGGCTTGCAGCCCAGGGAGGGAGCCTCCCCGCCCCCACCAGCACCCCCACCCTTCTCCTCGGGCGGGGCGCAAGGGCAGCCCTTTCTGCGGCTGCTGTTTGGTTTCTGAAGACGCCGCGGGTGTCTCTGATCCCCTAATCCATTTATCCAGCGTCCAGAGCACTGGCTCAATGCGGGGCCGGATGGGGGGCGGGGCACCCAGACACCCCCTCCCCCCCACGGTCCCCAGCGTCCCCAGGGTCCCCTGCGGCGGTGGGAATAACGCTGAGACGGTTTACGTTTTCTAAACCAAGGGCTTTTATTCTTAATTCCTTCTACTTGAAGCTGCCCTTGCAGAAGGGATGATGCCTCCCGGGTTCCTCCGCTCGGGGAGGGCTCAGGCCGGCCAGGGCTGGGG